ACAGGCTCCTGAGAGCCAAGAAACTCCTGTGCAGCTGCCCTCATGCATATCCATCACACCAAGCAAGGAAAAGCCACAGTGGACCAGCCCCCCGGTCACTATCTGGGCTGTGCACAGCAGCAGATAAGGAGGAAAGAGTAGTGCATGATTTAGTCTCTCCCAGTTGCAGTCCCCAACATTTAAATAGCCAGGGTTTCAGGAGATTTGGTGCTCAGCCCTTTGGGAGGTGCCTGAAAGCTTCTCAGCCGCACAGGCAGGACAAGAGCCTGGGGCTAAGGTGCTCCTGCCTGGGGAAGGAGGAGAGGTGGGATGGAGACCTGGAGGTCCCCGCAGCAGTAGGAGGAGCAGCCCTGGCCATGGTGGTCCCTGCAAGGCTGAAGCACAGGAACAGAAGAGGGAAGGGGGGACAGAGATGAAGGCAGAGAAAGGTCAATGTTTGTGCTGAACCAAATGCAGTCAGACCACAAGAGATAACATCTCAGAGTGAGATGAGAAGTAGTCCCATTATATGTGACTCTCTATTGATTTCTTCCCTTTGTGTTTAAGTATGGCAAACTGTATAATGTTTTAGGGAGCTTTATCAGATAAACCTGCAGGTCAATTAACCAAACTAACCCTGACGGAAGGAAAATGGATTTGTGCTTTACAGCTGCCAAAAAGGTTAAATGGGAAGGAAGAAATTCAGGGGCTCAAATAAGGCTGAGAACCTGAAGTGATGTTTTGTCTGCCTGAGGCCTTTAGAAAATCCAACAGCAAATACCAGGTCTCCATTTAAGCACTCTGGAAGCCTCCTGCTTTCCTGGGCAGCTTCACTGCCCCGGGAGCATGGGCGATCAGCTGTGATGCTCAGCAATGGGAGGCTGGGGCAAGTTGGGGAGATTTCCAGAGAAATACTCTGAACAGGCTTCTCTGCAAATGCAGTTAAATTTAGTGCATCTTAAACACACCAGCTCAACAGCTGGTGGTCACAGCAGCACATCCGCACCTCTTGCCGCAGCTGATCAGGGAAAATGTGCATGTCCCTATTCAGCTGGAAATGAATACGTTTTGCATCAGTGAGGAACACAAACTATTGAGATTTGTCCCAGAGTTTGTCTGCACACGCACACACACAGTCTGAGACCTCATCAGGAAAAAAACATAAATCAATCAAGTTTTCACATGGCTGAAGGGTCAGGCCTGAAAGAGAGCGGTGGGAGAGCAGCCGTGCCTGCAAATAGCTCAGCTCACCACGGTCCTCCAGCAGCCCATGGTGCAGTTCCTCAGAACTGCGTCAAACACCCGCTTCCCTGATTAGGGGAAAGAATCACGTAGGGACAGAAGTTAGAGCTGGCTGCCCCTGGGATGAGGGAAAAAAAAAGCTCTCTGAAACTGAACCGAGCAGTGTGGGAGAGGGAGAACTGGGACGGTGAAGGAGGTAACTGAGGGTGTAAAGAACCTAAAGCCAAGGAGCTGAAGACCCCCCCTTTGCTCCTGTGGGGAGCAAAGGCATTGTAGAAATAAACTGACACATCCTAGTCATGTAGTTCTTGAGAGAATGAGGGAAATTTTTAATTATTGACCAAGGGATTGACCAATTTTTAATTATTGACCAAGGTCGATTTTTAGGGTGGCTTTTCATATCAAGCCCATCTGTATATATGCGAGATCAAAAGTAATATTTAGTAAAGCAGTTTGCTCCTAGAGCTTTTGTAATATGCTCGTTTGCTGTTTCTGCCAGAGACTTTTGTAAATTCTTGTTTTGATGCAGGCCCTCAAACAAATTGTCCTTGCAGAGGAAGAACTTCTCTATTCTGTCATCTTAAGGCAGCCCGCCCTGTACTTACCCCAGGTGACAGCAGAGGACGTGGGCTGGGGACCAGGGACAGCCCTAGCTGTGCATGCTGCTGCAGGCAGGCGCTCGGCAGAGGGCTGGGAAGACGTATTTAACCCAGCCAGAGCAAACCCCGTGGGTCTCACCCAGGGAGTCACAGCTGATTGCTCTACAGGGGGTGTGAGCACCACAGGACTGCATACAAGGAGGTTTTCCCGTCTTCTCTGAAAAAATGGCAGAGTGCAAAAATGGGAGTGAAGGGAGCTTTGGAGCACTGCCTGTAAAAAAAAAAAAAAAAAAGGCAAAAAAAATGTGTATTCAGAAAATTCCCCAGTTTTGCCCTGCTCCGGAAAGTGAAGAGACCCAGCCCCAGTGCTTTCCACCCCCCTGGGTGCCCCCGTGCAGCTCCCCAATTTATACATAGGTGCACTTATGTATATCTGTATTTGTATATGTGTGTTTATCGCATTTAAATAGATAGATAGGTTAAATACAAGGAAACAAGGACAATAAGAAAAATCCCCAGAAGATTCCCAAAAAAGAGCACAAACCAAAAGAACCAGCCAATGGATTGATAATCAGAAACTTTATTTTGGTATTTTTTTTGATTCTATGATGAGTTTCACATAGAGATGGAGCATGGTTGGGTGCAGAGATGGAGGGTGGTGGCGTGCAGAGATGGAGGGTGGTGGGGACATCCTTTTGTCCATGGCTGTGTGGAGCCTCCAGCTGCCTGTTCCCCACTATTGATGGGGTACAGACTGGGGCTGTGCATGTTTCCTTACCCTTCGGTCAACGTCCTTGTAGAAAGCTGTGACACTGTCGGGCTGGTGGCGAGGAAGGAGAGGACAAATGCATGGCGTGGTCTGATCATGTCCCTGTCCAGGTTGTGGGTCGGAGGATCAGAGGAACTCCTTGCTGAAGGTTGCTGCGGATCCATATTATTTACATGAGTTCAAAAGGAGATTGGGAGACTCTTGGAAGAGGGATTGCTGAGGGCTGCCTAAAGCAGACCAGCCCCCTCCTGAAATGAAAATAGCAGGACGCTGGAGGAGAATTAAGGGGCATGATCAGCCACCCCCCGCCAGTTTTGTGTCATCTGCAGACTTGCGGAGGGTGCACTCTGCCCCATCATCTGGGTCATTAATGATGTGGTTAAACAGTACTGGCTACAGTATTGACTCACTAGTCACACTAGTCACTGGCCTCCAGCTGGACCTTCTGCCACTGATCATGACCCTTCGAGCGGGGCAGCTCAGCCTCTTTTCTCTCCTGGGACTCAAGGAGCCTGTCCAGGAGGTGAATATTTCGGTGTGGTGGGGAGAAGACCAAGAATCATTTCACGGTGCAGAGTTCTGTGCATAGACAAAATCACCTGGAGCAGCTGAGTTCCTCCAGCATGGTGCTGTGCCCGGGTTCAGATAAGGGTGTCCTATAAAACAGGGTAGCCTGTGGCTTGTCCCGTGCCAGCAGCACTGAGCCTGTCCAGGATACTGTTCTGCGGTGAGAAGTGCAGGTCTGTGGGTGCCTTGGGAAGCTGATGGGTTTTGGTCTCTAGGATCTCCTCCATCATCGACGTATGATCTCTCTGTGCTCCTGCAATCTGGTTTTATCTGGGGTTCCCTCTGGCATCTGCAGCACGGGCGCTTTTTCTGATTGTCAGGATTTGTCCCAGACTTACCCAAAACTGTCTCCAAACACCAGGAGCCTGAGCTCAGACACCGAGTTGCTGCAGCGTAACGAGCTGTGAGTGTCAGACCAGCATGGTCATTCCTCGGGGGCTGTGCTACCTTTCAGACATGATGTAGCTCAGCTCACATCGAGCAAAGCTGAAGCTAAGCAGAAGTTGCCAGCATTTTCTGGGGGTTAGGGCAGTCTCTCCAACACTTTCTGCAGCTCAGATGATGCAAAATACCCTGAGAAAGGCTCTGACTGCTTTGCTTGTCAGGTAGCGTCTTTGTCAGGACTGTGGAAGGAAAGAAACTATTTCCAGATGGCATTTTGTGAATTTATTTATCAGCTTGAAATTCCCCTTTTGTTGCCATAACATACCTTGTGCCCCAGCTGAGAGCACAAGGATGGGAGACGTCCAAATTGACAAACTATACTATGAACAAAAAAACGACAAAATTTAGATTAAGCAGAAACACACTCACTTTGAACGTGGCAAGGCAATTTTTTACTCTTACCTTGAAAGTCCCCTGGAACTTAAATTTACAGTCCTTATTCTTTCCTGAGACTTCTGTTCTGTGTAAGATAACATATTTGCTTGCAATGGGACAAAGCCTTTACCACCACCTCCTTCCTCCACAAACACCACATGTCTGTGTCTGTGATAGACCCTATCAGGAGACCTTCAGGAGTGCGGATGTTTTCAGCTGTGGCAACTGTTCAGCACCAGCACAATAGGGTATGAGTCTGGGAATACTATTGCAAGTGGTAATAGTGTAAGTTGCTCAAGGATTGTACTGGGAATTTGAAATACAGAGGCACTTTTCCTTTCCTGCTAGAGTCAGTGCAAGTATTTCCACTGGCTTCAGTGAGGTAGGGCTGAGCCTGAGCCAGGAATTCAAAGCAGGATATACTGATGCTTCTCTGTGCTTCATCCTTGCTTCTAAATTCTTGTTGCTGAGTATAATAGCATAGTTGATAAATATCATTCTTCACTTCAAGGCTTAGGAGCTCAAGCAAATCTGCATGGAGCTCATGTCAGCACTCAAGAACATCAGCTTCAGGGCTGCATTTTTCCCCCAACAGGTTTCCCAGGGTTGGAAACTTCTCACCTCTGCTCTGTTTCACTGTGAGTCATGGCAATGACTTCTATGTGGTGAGACAGGACTGAAGCCCATACACTATATCTTGGCCATGTTGTCCATCGTTCTGTCTGTCTGCCTTCAGGACATATTGTGCTGGTCGTATTCTGGTTTAAGTACAAGAAAACCAGTTGCAGTGCTTGTTTCCCTCAAATCTAAATGGGTTTAAATGTATTTTAAATAAAGTGTTGAAACTGAAACCTTCTCGGTTTTCCCCAATGGTGTGTTGCATCTGTATTTCTATTCAGTAGACAGCCAGAAAATAACTTTTTTGAGAGCTCTTATGCTTTATTCTCAAGCATTGCTATAACCCCTCTTTTGCTCTGAAATGGGATCAGGCAAGAGCATGAGCCTGCTCCTTCTCAGCATTGACCATGCTCATGACCTTGCACCCGGGAGCTTGCAGGGTGCAGCAACACACGGTGAACACGTGAACACTGTGGCACGTGGGTACCCCCCTCACCCCACCCACACCTCCTTCTGCCTTTTAACTCTATGAGTCCTCAAAACCAGGTATGCGTCCACTGCTCCACACTGGTGCAGGGGGTCTGGGTTCCTACAGGGCACAGCAGGGAGGACCCAGCTCTGTGCCCCAAACAGCAGTTAGGGAGGGGACAGCAAAGGTACATGAAGTAGTCCTGGTGACCGACTCATCCCAGCTGCTTCTAAGACAGATAATAAATAACCCACAGAGTAATGCTAACCTGCTGGGGGTCCTATAGAATCATAGAATGCTTTGGGTTGGAAGGGACCTTGAGAGATCATCGAGCCCTACCCCCCCCCTGCAGTAAGCAGGGATTGAACCTGTGAACTTGGTGTTATTAGCACCATGTTCTAACCAGCTGAGCTAACCCAGCTATAGGTTGTGTCAATACTGTATGGATAGTTACCAATGCAAACTATTGTCTTTTTTGAGTCTCAAGCAGCTTAAGGGAGGCATTGTCCCTCTTGAAGGGGCATTTCCCTTGGCAAAGAGATTCTGTACATGAGTGCACCTTCTTAATATGTATAAATACCTGATGGAATGGAGTAAAGAAGACAAAGCCATATTCTTCTCAGTGGTGTCTGGTGAAAGGACAAGAGGCAATGGGCACAAACCAGAAAAAACAGGAAATTCTATTTAAACATAACAAATTTTTTTTTTTAATTATGAGGAGGTCTATCAAACACTGGCACAGGTTGCCCAGAGAGGCTGTAGAGTGTCCATCCTTGGAGATATAAAAAACCCAGGTGTGCACAGTCCTGGGCAACCTGCTGTGGGTGACCCTGCCTGAGCAGAGGGGTTGGCCAGGATGGGACGGTCTCCAGATGTCCCTGCCAGCCTCAGTGACTCTGGATAGCATATTCACCTGTTTCACACTATAGAAGCATTGCTCTGGTGGTACTACAGTGCAGCTCTCATGCTAGTAACATAATTTCAGTATAAAAAAAATAAACACCCTTAACATTCTAAGACTGCCAGAACACCACCTGGCTCCAGAGGAGAGACAGAACTAAGTCCTGCTCTGCCCCTTCCATTCTGCAGGTCCAGGGTGCTGTCACACTCCTTCTGCCTGCACCAGGACGTGATGAACCTGGTCTGTGCCAACACCACCCCCAGCGTGGTGTATGGCCTCACCGCCATCCTGCTGGTCATGGGGCTGGACGCCATCCTCATCTGCCTCTCCTACATCCTGATCCTCAAGGCTTTCTTGCAGCTGGCATCATGGAAGGAGAGGCTTGAGGTGTTCAGCACCTGCGTTGCCCATATCTGCATGGTCCTGGCCTTTTATGTGCCCCTGATTGGGCTGTCCGTGGTGCACAGGTTTGGGAAGGACCTGGCTCCACTGGTCCATATCACCCTGGGAAATGTCTACATCCTAGTGCCCACTGTGCTCAACCTCATCATCTGTAGGGTGAGGACCAAGCAGATACAGAGGATCCTGATTTCAATTAAAATTCCCAATGACAGAACTGCTCATTGAACTGCACCCAGCTCTTGACTTTCCTTGACTTAGCTTTGGGGATGAGGAATGTGCTCTTCTTTGACTATGCAGCATGCTGCCTTAGCCCTTGGCAGGCTCTCAGTCACTATCAAAACACAAATAACAATAATTTATGACTGCAAATTGTAGAGCAAATATACTAGTACTGTAGTAAAAGACTACACAAGCTTGGCAGGTTGATGGCTTTATGGATGCAGCCAGAGCCCTTCAGGAGTTAACATTTAGATGGTACTTGTTCCTTTCTTTGCAGCGCATCCCAGTGTGTCCCAGAAAGGCACTGGGACAGACAGGCAGTATAAAACACTTTCATCTAATATTAACTTTTTCACTGTGTCTTCTTTTTCTTGCATTTATTCACTGTCTGTAATTTAGAAAATTATTTTTGGAAGTAACAGGTAAATACCACTTCGTGAAAGCAGAAATTTCTAGCACAAATCTGATTAAGAGCTTCATTTCCTGACTTAGGAACAAATTAACTCATTATCCACACAGCTCAAAACAAAACAATATTTGTAAATAGCAGCTCAAGGTATTTGTGGGGAGGTGTACTGGGTGTAGGGGGTAAGGTTTGGGTAGTGGAGGGGGCTGCAGGTATGGCCAGGAGGGAGGTCCAGGGCTGCCCTGTGCCGGGCATAGATGGTTCCAGCTGGATCACTAACAGACCCATCATGCACCAAAGCTGAGCCAGCCAGGGGAGTTTGTGGTGCCTCTGTGAAAACATCTAAGAAAGGTGCAGAAAATGTCGGACTGAGAGAGGAGGAGAAAGAAAGAGAAACAGCAAGGGGAACACCAACTTCACAGCAGTAGGAGGTGCTCCGTGGTGGTAGAAGCACTCCCACCGAAGGGACTGTGGGCCGTGGAGGACCCACACCAGAACAGGTACACCCCCGGAGGGCCTGCAGCCCATGAATAAGCCCATGCCAGAGCAGCTAGACCCCAAAGGGACTGCAGCCCATGAAGGACCCATACTGGAGTAGCTAAACCCCCAATGGCAATGCACATTGTGGATCAACCCATGCTGGAGCATTGCAAATGAGTGGCAGAGAGAAACCGCTGTGTACTGACCCTGACCTACACCAATCATCGCCTCACTGAGGGGACAGAGTGAAGCCCGTGGTGATAACAAGGAGAGGAGTCTGGATCGAAGAAGTGATTGGGTACACTGATGTTTTCAGGGAGTCATCAGTCATAAGTCCAAGACGTCAAGTGGGGATGGGCAGCTCATAGCACAACATTGTCTATGCAAGAATAGGGCTGTGTTTTGCCAGAGCACCTCAGTTTTAATGAATCTATTCTGAATTTTACATCATTCAGCTTTGCAAAGTTCTCCCGTAATCCCCCATCTCTACTACTTTGGGTATAGTGGTTTCATAAAAAGATTCATGACATCCCAATTCACATCCTTCTCCAGATCCCTGACTGGTAGAAGAAGAGCTGCTGAGGACAGCCTGGGGGAAGCAAACAGAGACCCCCACAAGACCCCATGACCCTCACAGTAGTGTGGGTGATGACCCACCACATATAACACCAGCTTGCTGGATGTGGGGATTTCTTACCTGCTGGGCTGCGATTGCAAAAGCCAGGTCAGGGATGCAGCAGCTACAGATACACTCATGAAACAGGCCAGACTTTGTTCTTCTGCCACAGAAATTTGACAGTGTCAACAGGAGTCTCCTTTTGTAATAGTCCCGATTTATAAATATGCCAGCTATACAGCAAAACACATTTCTTATTCTAAGACTTGGAGAAAATAAAGGAAATAGATACATTAATTCAGTAGAAATATTCTGGATTTTTTTTTTTTTTTTCTTTTCTGTATTTGCAGCACTGGTCTATGAATCAGATCTACAGCAGCCTAGCACATCAATAAATAACTCAGGCAACAGAAATCACATCTAAGTCATATGAGGACTATCACAACCGAAAAGACAGCTAAAAACCCCAGTGCTCACAGGTGTTTGTTCTCTTCCCCATGACCCTGGGAGCTGGTTGCCCAAGCCTCCCAGTGCATACAGGGTGGAGGAAGGGGACAGTGCTCTGCCTTGGCTACTGAGGGGGGATAAGGTGCCTGCAGCAGGTCGAACCTTACCCTTACTGAGACTGTCCTCAGAGCTCACGCAGGAAAATGTGAGCAAGCCTCCTCCAGGCAGATGTGTCATCGGCCATGGCATGTCTAGCCAAGAAGCTGGGAGCAGGCGGGGGGCTCCGGGCTGGTTTGTGCCTGTGCCAGTGCCATGTGCTCGAGGAGTGGGCATCACTCACCACCCACTCTCTCTCCTGGCAGTGAGGGTTGGCACCTCAAACCTCACTCCTCTCCCAGCTGCTCGCCAACATAAGATGGCTTCGCCTCCCTTTCTCCCACACATTTTAGTTAAATGGTCCAGCAGCATCAACAGCTCTTTGGAGAGGACCTGCAGGCCATCAGCTCATTTCCTTAACACACAAAAAGAGAAGAAATGCAGCCTGTGGAGCTCAAACAAGAATGTTATTTACCTCCAGCTCACTATCAGCACAGTGACGTCAAAGCTGAATACTCTGAAAATTTTCCTGTTCTACGTAGGCTGACCTCTGGATTTAGCACCCTCCTCAGTCTGCCAAGCAGGCTTTGCTGCTTGCTGCAGGCAGTGATGAGCTGAAACACCATTTTCAGCACATGTGTACAATCCTCTCACAATTCTCAAGACTTAAACTTGGAAAGATTCAGGAGAAGAGATGGGAGTTCTTTAAAGTGGATCATGCACTTGCTGCAGAGTTATGTATCCAGGGTTAATTTCTGTGGCCCATCATGGGCTGCAATTTGCATGTCCAGTTGTATGGATATCCTTACATGCCTCTGTGGATGGGATGTGTGAGAATTTAGATTCTTTTGGGAGAAAAATACAATGAGCACCCGGTCATGGATCTGCTTGGTTTTGACACCATACACCATGGGAGGGAATGGGAGGTAGAAATTAGCCATCAAGATGTGCATGCGAGAGGCAACATGGCAACCAAACCTGCGGATTACTGATGAGAGAACCACAGGGGGGTAGAAGACCAGGATGACACAGATGTGGGAGAGGCAGGTCCCAAATACCTGCAGTCTGTCCTCCTTCAAAGCCAGGCTCAACAAGGTCCTCAAGATCCTGAGGTAGGAAAGCCCGATGAACAACAGATCCAACCCCACAATGAAGAGAACCATGATGATGTTACTGAACCTGGTGTTGGCACAGGCCAGCTCCACCACTGTCATGTGTTTGCAGTAGCAGTGGGAGGTGATGCAGGAGTGGCAGTACAGCAGGCAACGGAGGAGAAAAGGCAGAGGCAACATGAGCCTGGCTGCCCTGGCTAGAGCCAGCAGCCTGTTCCTGACTACCAGGGAGATGGTCAGGATGGAGCTTGTAGCTCAGGGGATTGCAGGTGGCAACATACTTTTTGAAAGCCATGGCCAGCAGCTCCACCGACTCCATGATTGAGAAAGTGTGAAGAAAAAACATCTGCACAAGGCAAGCCCTGAAGGTGATCTCCTGGGCATTGAACCAGAAGATGGTCAGCATTTTGGGCATGGTGGTCAGGGACAACACCAAGTCAATGACAGCCAGCATGGAGAGGAAATGAAACATGGGCTTGTGGAGAGATGGCTCTGCATCACGTACAAGAGGGTGCTGTTCCCAAGGAGGGCTACAGTGAACACAGTGTTGAAAGAGATGGAAATCCAGGGTTGCATATCTTCCAGCCCAGGGACACCAGTCAAGAAAAACATGCTGTTGGAAGCAGAGAGTTTGACATTGAGAGGTGCCTTTTGCAAACTGCACCTAAAAGTCTTTCTTTTCAATAAAACATAATAGAAAGAATCATTAAACTTTGCAAAACATACCCAGATTTTGCCACTTTCACTGCAACTCCCTTATAACATATGAAGTTGATTTGTTATTCTGCTTGTTACTAAATCAGGGCAAGGTCATTCTGTGGAGTTTATCAACAAGAGTGAGCAGAGGTATCAAGTAAAAAGCATGATTACCATTGTTCAGATATGAAATTTTTCGGTGCTTATTTGCATTCAAGACGTCTCTCCTCCCCTGGTGCGGGTGGAGGAGGCAGGAGCTGGGCCCCCAGCACCATGAGGCTGGCGCAGTCCTGACGGCCTCATCCCAGGATGTCTCTGATTCTCCAGGATGCCCTAAGCACCCCTGGGGGGCTCTGCCAGCTGTGCACAGAGGCACAGCCACAGCTGGAGAGTGGATCCCAGGTGAGGACGACTTCTGGTTTGACCCAGCACAGGAGCTCTTATGAGTTAGATTAAACTAAGTTTAATTAGTTCCCAGATTAAACTAAGAAAAAATCATGCATCATCAGAATTCACACTGGGTTTCCATCCCACAACAGATTGGGACTTACATCATGGCTTCGTTCAGACCCTGTCTTCCCTCCTTGCTCGCACAACTCATGTGCACCAGACTCCCTGGGATGACGCACCAGATTCCTGACCAAGCTGTGAGTAAGCAACAGCTCCTCTTCTCCAAGGACCTCTGGCTCTCCAGCCTGCTGAGCAGACTTCAGAAGCTGCCCTGCAGCTGGGGAGTTTATAGGCAAGCTGTCTCCTCTCAGGTTTCACAAACCAGAGGGCAATCTCCTGTCATTCTTCCTCTTTCATCTTCAGCTCCAGACGACCAGGATTAACTCTTGCCTCTCAGAGTTGGAGGAAACCCTTGCTGCAGAATAAGGGAGGCAGGGCAGTGATTTACCTTCTCCCTAAGCTGTTTCTCTTGGCCAGAGCCCCAGCAGAATTTCCCTGACTCTTTTTACAACACCCAAGCAATTAATTACTGCCACCGTCTCCGGGAGGCCCATCCAACGACCCCAAGTGCCCAGCATTTAGGAAATACCTAAATTAGGTCCAAAGGATCAGCACTCATTTACAAAGCATTCACTAAAGTTCATGGATGTTTCAGGATCCTCAGATGAAAGGTGACATTAAAACAGAGCCCTAAGAATCCAGG